CTTAAAGAACCCTTAAAGAATTAAAGGAATTAACTCCTTACTGACTGGACAGACATAGGGCTCAAGCCTGTTCTCCTCCCTCCTGAGTGGTACCATTGCATTCAATGTGGTACCTGAGCAACTGGGGCAAGCTGAATTCAGCCCATATATTTGCACTCAAACATTTGCTCAGACTGTTGCCTGGCAAAAAAAGAACCGCAGACATTAGCCAGACGGCTAGCTTAGCTGCCCCTGAACTTCACAGTAGCACAATCCATCCCCATTAAGGACCGATTTCCAGCTCCACCTACAGCTTTTCAAACTCTTCCTGACTCCCAAACTGGTTTCCTCTGACGTGCGAGTCTCTCTTACCTGTCTGCTTGCAAAATTATTTGAAGGGCTCCTTCTTTGCTCTTTGGAATAGTGTCTACAGCCCCTTTTCATCGCAGCTCCTCTAATTAGCCTTTTAAGTGATTTCTCCTTATTTTTACGCACCTCCCACTCCTCCTCCAGAGCAGATTGCTCCTTGCCTTTCTGTGCCTCCTGCTTATTGCTTTTCATAGCCCCACTCACTGACATCAGCCTGTGCCTTGTTTAGGCTCAGCTGGGCTCAAAGGCAGTTGCACTCTCTCACCAACACAGCTATGTAATATTTAACAATTATTAGTGGAGAGGAGTGGAAGGACGACCCACCAGTTAGGTCAATAGGCTAGGACTTGGGAGACCTGGGCCCAAGTCCTTTCTCTGCCACAGATTTTGTCTGTGGTCTTGGGCAAGTCACTTAGTCTTTTTGTCTCTCAAAAAAACCCCATGAGGATAGTAATCCTTGGGTACCGCACAGGGGGTTGTGAGGATAGCTACATTACAGACTGTGAGTGCCAACACCATGGCAGTGGGGGTCAGGTAAGTACTTAAGGCAGATAGCTATCTCCATTGCTGTATCATATTCTAGACAAAATCCCTTTGGCTGCTGCCTGCCCCTGGCAAGGGACTTCCCTTCTGGGGCATTCAACCCCCTTCATGAGCAAGAGGAAGGGAATTCTGGGTGGAGATGGTGGGAAGCCACCCAGGCCACAAGACTTCCAGACTCTGAGTTCACCATTTCAACCTCTCCGAAAAAATAATTAGCTGGCATGTGCTGCTGCCGTCTTTCTGCTGTCGAGCCTTCCTCTCCCATCCTACACAGCACTAACTGGGCGACAAAGAGCCAAATTCTGCTCTCCTTCACCCCAGCCTAAACCCAAAGAAATGCCAGCGAAGAGAGAGGAGTCACGCCCAGGTTACCCGAGAGGAAGGCAGAGCTGCATGGGGCCCAGCCTGTCTGGAACACGCTCAGGTCACCCAACCTCTCTTAGGCGCGTACAGCAAGCTTACAGAAAGAGGGTGGTAGTACTATTTTCCTATCTACGTATCTATTTTATTTCTGCTTCTTGGACATTCCTTTCCCTGGCTCTAGGGACATTCACATGATCAGACCAGATCCAGCCAGATAAAACCCATACATACATAATGTACAATGCGATGTAGCCCATGCTGGCCATACCTCTGCCTAAAAGCACAAAACCCAGACCTCCCACAAGAACACCCTCCTCCCGACCCACACGCTCGAGTAAGAGGGGTCTGCAACATGCTTTACCAATAAACAATGGACCAAAGCGGGGAGCAAGTTTCAGAGTTCAGAACCCCTCCCATATAAACCAGCGCCTCCACAGACAACAAGGGGAGCAGTAAAGAGGGGAAAGGAATCTCTCAGCTAATCAGGGCTCAAATTATTTAGGATTTTGCAAGCCAAAATTAACCCCTTAAACTCCACCTGGAAGCCAACGGGCAGCCAATGCTGATTCCGGAGTGCTCGTATGACGTGCTGAGGGTATCAACGTCTGCTCAGCAAAGGCAGCTGCCACATTCTGCTGAGCTTCAGCTCCCAGATGGTCCAAGCTGTAGCCCCACGTAGAGCAGGTGGCAGCAAGTTAATCTCTTCACAGGATACACAGGGGAAAGCACTCAGCCACAGACGCTGCTGGAGCACCTTGGAGCTGCCCTGGATCTCATGACAGCCCTAAGCTGTGAATGGGGGAAACAACTGGGAGGGGTATTCCCTCAGTCGAGGCTGCTAATAAATCTCTGCCAAGTGTTCATTGCATCTTCCAATCTGCGAACATCAGGTCGGTCATTACTGGACAGAGGCTCAGCCAGCTACCTCCTAACGCATCCCCTGGGACAGCCACTGCACAGCAGAGCAGCGCGAGAGGACTGTGTGTCCTCAGCATACTAAAACCAGCACAGCCAACCCCTACACCTCAAACCTCCGCCTGGCTTCAGGTGCACTCTGATAGGGGGGCTGACAGCCCCACACCTTGCAGAACCCCACAGGCAACAACAACTGCCCATCACTTATGTCTGGAACCTCTCCCAGACAAAGGGGTGGAGCCACACCAGGGTGGCTCCATTTATGCCTGTCAGGGATAACAGGCACATCAAAAATACCTCGCCATCAGTGGTATCAACGGCCACGCTCTACCTCGCCGTCGGTGGTATCAACGGCCACACACTACCTCGCAGTCAGTAGTATCAATGGCCACACTCTACCTCGCCGTCGGTGGTATCAATGGCCACACTCTACCCTGCCGTTGGTGGTATCAATGGCCATGCTCTACCTCGCCGTGAGTGGTATCAATGGCCACGCTCTACCTCGCAGTCAGTAGTATCAATGGCCACACACTACCTCGCAGTCAGTAGTATCAATGGCCACACTCTACCCTGCCGTTGGTGGTATCAATGGCCACGCTCTACCTCGCAGTCAGTAGTATCAATGGCCACACTCTACCCTGCCATTGGTGGTATCAATGGCCATGCTCTACCTCGCCGTCGGTGGTATCAATGGCCACACTCTACCCTGCCGTTGGTGGTATCAATGGCCACGCTCTACCTCGCAGTCAGTAGTATCAATGGCCACACTCTACCCTGCCGTTGGTGGTATCAATGGCCACGCTCTACCTCGCAGTCAGTAGTATCAATGGCCACACTCTACCCTGCCGTTGGTGGTATCAATGGCCACACTCTACCTTGCCGTGGGTGGTACCAATGGCTACACACTACCTCGCAGTCGGTGGTATCAGAGGCAGCTGACAGACCTAAAAGAATCAGCATTGTCACATGGGCACTTTAACTTCATCTGTTGCTAGGAGATGTTTTGGTTCTGTACTTTTCTTTGGTAATAATTTATACCTGTACAGGGCCAGATTCTCACACCCTGATGCTGTTCAGGGCCCTACGGCACACAGTGTGAGGGAGGGTAGTAGACTCTGACTCACAGTGCTTTTCATCTGCAGATCTCATGGGAGGGTCAGTGTCATTAACCCCATGTTGACAATGGGGAAACTGAGGCACAAAGTGGCAATGTGATCTGCCCAAGATCATACAGTGAGTCAATATCAGAGCAGGACATAAAATCCAGATCTCCTGATTCCAAGCCTGTGTCCTCTCAACTGGAGCACACTGCCCTGCTGCTAGGCTGGGCAGGATAACACCATAAATGACCATTCAGTGTCAAGATACGTCTTAAGGTGCAAGAGCACCACCACAACCTAAGAGTTGGTTGAAGGTAGCACCCAGCAAAGCTGAACAGGTGCAGTGCCCCTGCTGGGAAGAAGGGGAAGGACACTGAAAAGCTTCTTCTCCCAGCGTTTTCCTGGGGAGGCGGATTGAATGGGGTAGGGAAGAGGGGTTAGCATTTGATTCTGGTGGCTGGTGAACATTTTAATTCTTGACACTGAACCATATGGAATTCTCTATTGCCTTGCCTGCCTAGGAGAGGTGCAGTCTACACATTGCCATGAATCGTTTATTCAGTACCAGGATCAGGATCTCCACCAGGCTGAATTCATTCATTATCAATTATTCCTTTTTTTACCGTTAATGTTTTGCTTCCTTTATGGAATTTCTGCTCCTTCCTCCCTGCAGGAAAAAATAACCACACACCTCCCCACCACCATCAGAGAACGTTTCACCACAAAGGCAGCCGATCAGAATTCCCCAATATGCAGGACAACCACAAAATAAAAGAGTCCTGCACTATCCCGCAGGGTGCGGTGAGGTGTGTGAATACTGATTGGCTGGTTAGGAGGACATGAGCTGCAATAAACAAACAAGGAGAAGCCACAGCTGTGCATTTGGGCACCTCTGATCCAGGTCACTGTCCTGGCATTTAAACGCTAAGGGCTAGATCCCCAGCTGGTGTATGCTACTGCAGCTCCTCTGAAGTCAGTGTGGATTTATGCCATCTGAGGATCTCAATCTGCAGTCAGAATGAACCCATGATACATCAGCCCCCGACCTGCTGCGCTACCAGGTGGCAAGCTACCTGCTCCCCACAGAACGGCTATGGAACCAGTTCTAACTCCAGCCAGTGGCTGACCACTGGGACATTTGGAGAAGCCTCTCCCATAAGTGGTTTGTGCAAACTTAGCTTATCTAGCCGCTGTCACAGCTGTTCCAAATGGGTCCATGAACACATTACACCACAGACCATTAAGCAGCCTGTCTTCTCGTCTCTCTGCTGTGCCTTGTCAAGTTTGAATCCTCTTTGGCTTGTTAACTGCTGTGCAGCCGGAATAAATGGCAGCCGAGCCTTAACTAAACTCCAAGCTGCTCCCGGAGCGCCCATCCCAATGCTAATCCGACACAAAAGCCTTCGCCATTCCCTCCTCCGGTGTGAAAAGCATGGAGGGGAAACAGGGCAGGGAGGGGGGAAAGACACTTCATGTGCTGGGGGAGGACGGGAATGAAGAAAAAGGGAAGGGGAGCAGCAGCCCCTGGGGAGTGAATGCCTCCTTGTCCTCTTCTCAACAGAACAGTGGAGCACACGCACACTCGTGCACAGAGTTTACCTGGCACACAGCTGTTCATTGCATGCAGGGACCAGTGAGGAGTAACACATGCCGCAGGCAAGCCAAGCCCCTGCCCACACCCCTGCTACTGCCAGGATTTCCAAGAGAACTCAAGCGCGACAAAGCACTTACATTGATCATAGCATTGGAGGTGATCCGGAAGAGGGTGGCTCGCTCATTGACGGCTTTGATCTTCTCCCCGCTCTCGGCAGGCAGCTTCAGGTTCTCCAGCTCACTCAGGGACCTCTGGAGAGCCGCCCCGTGCTTGGCAATAAGGTCATTGCACGTGCTTAGATCCTCCAGCTTACTGGCGAGGCTTTTCAGAGTGCTGTGCAGCTCACTCTTGTCAGACTGCGAGGTTGGTTCCTCATCACCAGAGTCATCTGGAAAGAGGGGAGTGGGGGGTGGAGAGAAAAAACGGTTTCCATGGTTACCACCGGACTGTACTAAAGTCCGGGCTGTGCAGTGGAAGTGAGTCAAGGGCTCCTGGCTTGTGCTGAGTGCCGTTGGGCTGGGGGTGAGAGAGCCTGCACACTGCCCTTGGGGACAGCTTTTCAGAATAGCCCCTAGCTTGTCCCTCTCTGCCCTACACATGGAGCTCCTATTCCCCCTCCTGCTTCCTAGCTGCTTTCACTCCTCCTGTAGCCAAGCTCTTCCTGTGTGTCGGAAGCAGGGGTCAGTGCAGAGCACGTCTCTGCCTGTGAAAAAAGCAGCCAGCCAGGAAAACTCCCAGTGACTTCACTAAGTTATAGAGCCGCCCCCAGAAGAGGCTACCCGCCAGGCAGGGCCCAGGAGAGCTAGATGTGCAACTGCCAACCACTACTGTGCCAAGGAGGGCATTCACACAGGGCCAAGTCCCACAACAGCAAGCGGGGGGAGTTCCCCCCACCCCAGAACCTCTGCCGGGGACTTCCCATCATAACACTCCGGACTGTGATTAGTCCAACCACGTGGGTCATTAGCACAAACGTGCAGTTTGGATCGGAATTTGTGTCTCCATCTGTGTGACACTGGGACCGAGGGAACCACTGAGGGTACGTCTACACAGCATTTGGAGCGAGCTTCCCAGGGGGTCCACAGACAGGGGCTAGCAGGCTCGTGCTAGTACTCTAAAAATAGTCGTGTAGACAGCGCTTTGAGCTCACGGTTTGGGCTGCCGCTCAGGCTCTGAAGCCTTGGGAGGCAGCTGGGCTTCCAAGCCCGAGCTCCAGCCTCAACTCCAAGCACTGACCATCCAGCTATTTTTAGAGCATGAGTCTGAGCCCATCAGCCCAAGTCTATCAACCTGGGCTGGGCAGCTTGCTCCAAAATGCTGTGTAGACGCACCCTCAGGGAGCACCAAAACACCCGTCTTTCATAAGGAAAATTATTCTGTTCTGGGTGTTTTCAAGTTTCACCCACATGGAAAGGTCCTAGACACTCAGTATAGAATAACAGCCTTTCTATAGCACTTTGAAACCAGGCTATGTAATCCTGCAGACGGGGGAGTACAGGATGTTTTCAAAGTTCTACAGAAAGGAGAGCACTCTTCACTAAATACGACAGGGCTCAGAGTGATTTCCATATAAAGCCCTAATGAATTTAATAAGGATGAGCTATTCCCTAAGGGTTAAGTCTCAAAAATTTACATAATAACATAAGAATGGCCATAGTGGGTCAGACCAATGGTCCATCTAGCCCAGTGTCCTGTCTTCTGACAGTGGCTGGTGCCAGATGCTTCAGAGGGAATGAACAGAACAGGGCAACGTATCGAGTAATCCATCCGCTGTCATCCAGTCCCAGATTCTGGCAGTCAGAGGTCTAGGGACACCCAGAGCCAGGAGTTACATCCCTGACCATTTTGGCTAATAGCCAGTGATGAACCTAACCTCCATGAACTTATCTAATTCTTTTTTGAACCCAGTTATACTTTTGGCCTTCACAACATCCCCTGGCAACCACTTCCACAGGTTGTCTGAGTGTTGTGTAAAGAAGGACTCCTTATTTTGATTCAAACCTAATGCCTATTAAGAACTCCTGGTTCTTGTGTTCTGTGAAGGGGAAAATAACACTTCCTTCTTCACTTTCTCCACACCAGTCATGATTTTATAGACCTCTATCATATCCTCCCTTAGTCATCTCTCTTCTAAAATGAACAGTCCCAGTCTTATTAATCTCTCCTCATATGGAAGCTGCTCCATACCCCTAATTATTTTTGTTGCCCTTTTCTGTACCTTTTCCAATTCCAATATATCTTTTTAAAGATGGGCAACAAAAACTGCATGCACTATTCAGGATGTGGACATACTATGAATTTATATAGTGGCAATATGATATTTTCTTTCTTATCTATCCATTTCCTAATGATTCCTAACATTAGCTTTTTGTTACTGCTGCTGCACATTGAACAGATGTTTTCAGAGAACTATGCATAATGACTCCAAGATCTCTTTCTTGAGTGGTAACAGCTAGTTTAGACCCCATCATTTTGTATGTATAGTTGGACATTTCCAATGTCCATTACTTTGCATTTATCAACATTGAATTTCATCTGCCATTTTGTTGCCCAGTCACCCACTTCTGTGAGATCCATCTGTAACTCTTCGCAGTCAGTTTTGGACTTAACCAACGTGAATAATTTTGTATCATCTGCAAACTTTGCCACCTCACAGTTTACCCCTTTTGCCAGATCATTTATAAATATGTTGAACAGTATTAGTCTCAGTATGGATCCTTGGGGGGCTTCCACTATTTACCTCTCTCCACTGTGAAAACTGACCGTTTATTCCTACCCTTTGTTTCCTACCTTTTAACCAGTTACTGATCCATGAGAGGACCTTCCCTCTTATCCCATGACAGTTTACTTTGCTTAAGAGCCTTTGGTGGGGGACCTTGTCAAAAGTTCTCTGAAAGTCCAAGGAGACTATGTCCACTAGATCACCCTTGTCCACGTTTGTTGACACCCACAGAGAATTCTAATACATTGGTGAGGCATGATCTCCCTTAACAGAAGCTGTGTTGACTCTTCCCCAACATACTGTGTTCATCAAAGTGTCCGATAATTGTGTTCTCCACCATAGTTTTAATCAATCTGCCTGATACTGAAGTTAGACTTACCAGCCTGTAATTGCCCGGATCACCCTGGAACCATTTTTTTAAAACGTCAGCATTACATTAGCCCTCTGGTACACAAGCTGGTTTAAATGATAGGTTACATACCACAGTTAGTAGTTCTGCAATTTCATATTTCAGTTCCTTCAGAACTCTTGGGTGAATCCTACCTGATCCTGGTGACTTATTTCTGTTTAATTTATCAGTTTTTGTTCCAGAACCTCCTCTACTGACACCTCAATCCGGGACAGTTTTGTCACTTAAAAAGAATAGTTCAGGAGTGGGAATCTCCCTCACATCCTCTGCAGCGAAGACCAGTGCAAAGAATTCATTTAGCTTCTTTGCAACGGACTTGTCATCCTTGAAAAGGAGTCCTTGTGGCACCTTAGAGACTAACCAATTTATTTGAGCATAAGCTTTCGTGGGCTACAGCCCACTTCATTAGATGCATAGAATGGAACATAGAGTAAAAAGGTATATATTCATACAGAGAACATAAAAAGGTGGACGTTGCCACACCAACTCTAAGAGGCTAATTAATTAAGATGAGCTATTATCAGCAGGAGAAAAAAAACTTTTGTCGGGATAATCAAGATGGCTCATTTCAGACAGTTGACAAGAACATGTGAGGATACTTAACATGGGGAAATAGATTCAGTTTTTTCTGTGTCTCATGCTAGTTGCTCTTCAAATTCTTTTTTGGCTGCTTAATTATAGTTTTACACTTGAGTCCAATCCACATTTTTAATCTGTTTCTTATAACCAACTCATGCCTTCAGTGTCCTGGCCTCGCAGGTAGCACAGTGCTGGCAGCTGCTTGCTGCATGCTGAGAGAGGAGGTTATACGTGGTGTAGAACTGCTGGGGGCTCTCAGCTCTCGCGCAGCAGGCCTCAGGCAGCTGACCTTTTGGGGAGGGAAGGACAACTTCCATGAATGTTACCATGTAAGGAAATATCTATTTAATATTTACAACAACAAAACCAGCACTGCAGAAGGGGAGTATGTTCAATATCACTGAGATTCAACGGAAATGGTGATTATTTTTGTAACATAAAAATATTGTGTGGTGTTAAACAAGCAATGAATAATGAGTGTAATGTGATGAGTTTCTTTAAAATGCACCATTCTCTCTCCCCTGGAGGCAGGTGGAGTCAAGCACAAGTTGGGGGATCAAGAGGCTCTAAGCAGGGATCAGAGACATCAGCAAAAAATCCACCAGGAAGTCAAACTGAGAAAGGGAAAACAGCCCTGACACTACAGAGGTTCCAGGGGTGGTTTTAGAGCACGTGCAGCTCAGCTATGCACCCTCCCCATATACACATCCTGTGTTACGGAACATGGGTCCCATTAAAGATCGTCGTGCTGCACTGACTCGTCTCCACACTGTCACCATCCTGGCCCACAGTTCATGCCCCCTGGATCTGCCTTGCAGGCTGAGCTTGGAGGGCAGGCCCAGAGCCCTGAGCTGCAGGCATTACCGCGTCGCTTCCCAACATCGTGCCCAACCAGCAGGGGCAACACCAAGTCCGTGGGGCATTGCTCTGCTACATCCGGGAAGGCCCCCACTGCACAGCCAGAGAACATGATGTTGCTGGCACTGATGTACCAACACCACCAAACACTGAGACCTGCCACACAACTATGGCTTTGTGCTGGGTCTGAGCAGTTGTCGGCTGTGTGCCCAACGACGTCCCCAGAAGTATGTGCACCCTGGCCCCCATCCTCTCTTGGGTGCAGCTGCACTCTGTCCCCTGCCCCAGCCCCCCGGTTCATGTCCCCCCACACGGGTGCAGCTGCACTCCGTCCTCATCCCCCTCCCCTGGTGCATGAGCACGCAATTTCCTCTGCACGTTGGCTGCAGGTGCGCCTCCCATTCCCCACAGCCCCGTGAGTAGATGTGTTCTGTCCCTGTCCGCCCAGGAGCAGGGACGCTCCGTCCATCCCCCGTCACGTGCCCAGGAGCAGGGACGCTCCGTCCATCCCCTGTCACACCCCCAGGAGCAGGGACTCTCCGTCCATCCCCCGTCATACCCCCAGGAGCAGGGACGCTCCGTCCATCCCCCGTCACGTGCCCAGGAGCAGGGACTCTCCGTCCGTCCCCCATCTCACGCCCAGGAGCAGGGACTCTCCGTCCGTCCCCCGTCACACCCCCAGGAGCAGGGACTCTCCATCCATCCCCCGTCTCACGCCCAGGAGCAGGGACTCTCCGTCCATCCCCCATCTCATGCCCAGGAGCAGGGACTCTCCGTCCGTCCCCTGTCACACCCCCAGGAGGAGGGACTCTCCATCCAT